ACACACACACACACACACACACACACACACACACATCCACACACACAGACAAATATACACAGGGCTTGAACAGGATAATTGGGTGATTACATTTTCAACTTTGTTTTGGACGCCACTATATAACATACTTATAAAAACGAATAATTTTGTGAGCTCACTTTCTCTCTTGACAAACCAAAACTAAGGATTCAAAATCTTGTGGATGTTGTTACAAGATCTCATAGAGGGAAGCTGGTTTACGATAGCCTTATGGGATTAAATATAAATAATTAATAAGTGATATTAATTTAGACCTCTTGCGCTGCTTTTCGTTTTTGTTTTTGTTTTTGTTTTGTGTCTTTTAAATGTAAGACTTCCTCACCTTAAAAGTGTTGTTAACTGCTAACTGTTGTTAGATAAAGAGCAACATTCTGAGAAATTGTCATGCTGTTTTTAACCTCTTAGGTGTTTTAGAGAAAGGGAAAATACAGCCACCTACGCACAAGACAGAACACAAATGTCGAAATACACCGGGAGGGTTTTCAGTAAAAGAAAGAACTAAATCACAAACTGGTTTTTTTGTTGGTTTTTTTGGTGAAAAAAGAGCTAAATCACTAATTGAAAAAAACAACCCAACTGCAGAGTGTCCGTTCTCACTGGAGGAGTGTTGTTTTCGTTCCCAAAACACATACCCGATACTGCCATACGTCTTTCCTCACAGGATTTTACCGAAAGGGACAGTAACACTCTGACATTTACGCACTTGAATGAAAAAAACGTAGAAATGCACACGTAAGAAATAAATTACGCACGAAGAAAGAGCACACAGCCCAAAATTATAACCAAACTGGCGATCAAAATAATGGTATCACTTTTTGATTGAGCAAAAAATCTAGTCTTTTCAGTCTTTAATTACGTTAAGACATTCAAAATCAACAGAAAACTTGCGTTGACCATCCTGGTAACAACACAAACGTGCGGAGTGAGCCGATGCCTCGATTTCTCTGATGCTGAGTTAAACCTACCACCTTTCTTGGGTAATAATGATCAAATGGGACTGTGTGTTTTTAAAAAATGAATTTAATAAACAAAAACCAAAGCTTTATTAAAAAACAAAGAATAGAAGAAAAATCCGCCACGGGGCCAGGAAAACAATGCCAATTTTCTATTTTTACTTTTGGTCCTCGGAAGACTAATTGAAACATCAAAATGTGTTTTTTATAACATGACCTACTTTTTAGACCAGTTAGTTTTACTCCCCTTTAGACCAGTTAGTTTTACTCCCCTTTAGACCAGTTAGTGTTGCTCCCCGCGAAATGAAAAGCTTTGGGACTCAAAAGTCCACGCTGTGGATGAAAGTAAGTTTTCTCATTGGATTGGTCCTAAATACAACTGAACTTGTCTAAAATGGCCACTCATTGCTGGGAAAAAAATGGTTGTCTCAATCAAAAAGTGGTAGAAGCTACATTTCATTTAATCGCCATATATATATATATATATATATATATATACATATATATATATATATATATATATATATATATATATATATATATATAAATCCCTCTTATAGATATACATGTTGTTTGTACTCACTGGAGGTGGCGTTGTTGTAGGTCCCCATATACTCCGAGCTGCTGAACTGACGGGTGAGCGCGGTCTTGCCCACTCCCTCGTCCCCTTGGATCACCACGCTGTGGATGAGAGCACGTTTTTTTGTTGTTGTTGTTGTTGTTTTGTTGTTGTTTTTGTTTTTTTGGGATGGGGGGGGGGGGGGGTTGTAAGTGTTTTCATATGAGCGCACGGGACACATTAAACTTTTTCAGTTGGTAGGAAATTTTGAATTTTGCCCAGGTGGCGGCCGAAGCCTACTCTTATCGATTTATACCACCAAGGGATCTTTAACGTGCCCAACTTGCACACGGGCCCTCTGAAATTGTTCGCCCTTGTCCGAGAAGGCTAGGTGTTGATCTTTCCTAGAGCAAGTTTTCTCATTGGAATAATCATAAATACAGCTGAACCTGTCTAAGCTAAGACGGCCACCCATTGCTGAAGTAAAAAATGGTTGTCTCAAACAGGTGAACGTCTTGCACGGTGTCATCATTATGTAAAAGAGACGCAAGGGACGATGGGACGTGACAGTTTGCACAGGTGGTTGTCTTATACAGGAAGCTGTTAGAGTAGGTTCCACTGTATTTACTTTCACTGTATCTTTTTGTCCTCTGTTGCTTTTGAGACTCGAGGGTAGATGCAGTTTTCTATGGTAGGCCAACTCTGCAGCTGTAGAATTGTTACGAATTGTAATGTTAATTACAGATTGTGTTACCACTCGGCAAACCAATATTGTTTTTTAATTTAGTAGGCGTGCTGCTTTGATGATATCAATACCAATAATGACTGAAGCAAATACAGCCTCGCAGCTTACAGACGGGGATACTCAATAACAAACTTCTCCATGTGGGAAGCGAACTCATATTTTCCAGAGTAGTCAGCGAATAGCCTACAGGCGTTGGAGTATTGGCATTGATAGCTTTAAAAATGTTTTTTTAATGAGTGTAATTTAACGGCCTATGTTAAACAGGCCAATGTTAAACAAAAGAATTTATTTCAATAACAGAACATTTTTTGGCCAAAGCTCAAACTGTATTACCTAAGTTTAGTATCCTTTACTCACACATAAAGGTCAATTCAAAGGGCAAAGAAAAGATGGGATATAAATAGTCGAACAAACAAGGAGTAGAATTACCTGCGGGCAGGAATGGCACTCTTACTTTGAAGTCCATTCCGTGATATCTTGCCTCCGTGTTCTTTTACCCTCGTCTATTTAGTAATGGTAAACAGACTTGTTTTATTGATTATATTCCTTTTTTCTGCTGCTCAGTGCTGAAGCAACCAGCCTCGTAAAAGATCAAAATTTTAAAGTAATGTGCCACTTTTGTTTTTTGGAGGGATTTTTTCTTGAAAAGGGGGAGGGGTGTGTGTGTGTGTGTGTGTTTTTTTCTTCTTTTTTTTGGGGAGGGGGGGGGGGGGGGGCAAAAGACAAATTACTGTAAATTTTACAGTGTATATTAAAGCCTGCTAAATTAAATCTTATTAAGTTTCCCCATTGTCAGCTATCTACGCATGCAAACGTCATAATCAGAAACGTAACCAGAAAGAGGCGCCAAGAAACGTTTTTGGAATCCGGCTTCTTGACATGCAATTTAGATCCCTGTCAGATTTTCTCATGTTCTCTAATTGGGTTTGCTCTCGTTCGACTACTTTTTAAACGGCTTGGGCTCTTTAGAAATTAACCCTGTCACATTTGATAAACACAAAATTATCCCGGAACAATATGTGGGGCATTGTGGGGCAGTCAAGCGCTCGTCAAAATAACAAAACCAAAGAAACAGATATTTTCCCTCCTGTTAGGCATTTCTTTTTCTCAACACATTTAATGTTGATTAAAAACCAATGTGTGCATTTTACAGGGAAAATGTTGACCTCGCACCCAAAAAATCGTACTTTTCTTGTCTCCAAGGACTCTACAACTTTGGCAGTCACTACTCAGCAGTTATAATCCTAACACCAGGCCACCTCGACCTGCTTCAGTCGCAAATATCACGACTTCAATACAAAATAGATAGATATTTCTTTTCCTCAAAAGCAAGGCAATTGAACATTATGAAGATGGCCCAATTCCCAATAATTGACAAGCGCCTAATTCCAGCGCGTCCTGACGTAAAATATTATATTGTTTTTATGTAGCGCACATCATTTCTGGCGTTCTTGACAAAGAATTATCATCTGTATTTTTGTTCATTAAATATCCTAGCTTGTGCAACGAGTTAATTTTCGACGAGATCTTAAATCGTCCGTCCTAGATTTTGAAACCAAATCGTCTTATAGCAAAGTGGCATATAATTGGTGCTACAAAGTGCGTCTAGGTGAACAAAGACAGTGAACTCTTGCGAAAAGACTGGCTGTATAGAAGCCGAAGATATTGACCCAACATTGTTTCCTCTTAGTGCTGCTATTTATCGTCCACATGATCTCTCCTCCTTCTTTTACTTCTATGTTACGCTCTAGTTAAACGTCTAATTTTTGGCCCCTATTATGACCTACCAATTTGTTTTGCAAGTGCCGTGAAACTCTTACTTAAACTAAAACTACTGTTTCAGACCCAAACGTCTCATTCAAAGCTCAGTTCATATTCAAGTCCATTTGTTTCGTTCCCTCTTAGTTTGGCTGTTTAGTTCTCTGCACTATGTCCTGTCGTCACCCATTCAAAAACTAAGTGACGTATTGAGCCTTAGTGTCCATTTCCTTAACAGAGAGTACAAAACCTGGTAAACGCTACAGGTTCAGTTGCGGAACATCTCTTTCGTAATTTATAACTTCTTAGCCTTTGTATCTTGTTTCTACATTCGGTTATTCGGTACAAAGAAAATGAGCAGTTATACCCCTGAAGGAGTGTAAAATAATCAAAATATTATTTATGTTAAAGTGAAAACAGAAACATTGCCAGCTAACTAAACCGTTTTACCCTGTTAATCATTACTTTAAGTGGATTAGTCATCTTTTAAGTGCATTATTATTGATTACTGTTTTATTTTCAAAACTAAGAGAATTGCACCTCATTCAGTGGACCATTTCATCACGTGTGCTGTACTCTTCACCCCTGCTGGTGGGGGGGGGGGCATAGTTTTACTATGGGGGAGCAAAGAATACACCTGCCGTGATACTGCGTTTCGTAAGAGGCGACAAAAAGTGCATAGGTCTGGTCGCCCGAAAAGTGCCAGTTTGCCGAGGGCCAACTACCCAAACCCAGTACAAAACAGTAAGTTACAGAAACATGAACAAACACAGATTTCTATTTTTCGATCTTGGGAGACGGGGGGGGGGGGGGGGGGCTTCTGTATCAGCAGGAACAATGAAGGACAACGGAAGACATGGAATAACATCAAGAGGCTAGCCCAGGATAGAGAAAAGTGGAGGGTGTTTGTCCGTGGCCTATATCCTGGTGCAGGGTGAGAAAGGCAATGATGATGGTGATGATGATGCTGTACTCTTATTACCGCAGAGAAGTAATGACATAGCAGCACATAATCCTGAGATTTCTAGCACAGCCAGTAGATCTATTGTCTACAGAATCGTGTGTTCTCTGATTAAAACAACTATGAAAACTCTTCTATTTAAAGTTTCTGATAGAAAAAATAGAACTGGAGTTGAAGGCGTCTAAATTTAATCATACAGGACGTGTCCTGTGCCAAACAAGTAACATTCTTTCAGCTTGGAGGGAAACGGATCAAAAGATTAGAAGGACAGAAGAAGAAGAAAAAGAAAAAGAAGAAGAAGGAGGAGGAAGAGGAGGAGGAGGAGGGGGGGGAGAAGGAGAAGGAGTAGGAGGAAGAGGAGGTTTTGGAAAGACATAAAATCGAGCAAGCGAGAGAAGGCTGGATACAGAAAGAGACAGCGGAGAACAAAGCCAAAAAAGGGGAGGAAGGGGGGGGATAGTGACAGACTCACGAGCAAAGGACATGGAGGAAACGAGACAAGGGAGGGACAAATAACAGTACGAGAAAGCCAAAGCCAACCAATCTCGAAAAAAAAGGCAAGGAAAAAAACAAACTAAGAATCACTAGATGGCTGGTAATACGGGAGGGCGGCTGAACTATTGCACTAGGAATGAGTGACTTTAACGTCATCGGCTGGTGGAATCGGTCACAAAATCGAATACAGCTGGACGAGGTGCAAACAAAGATCGTACACTACATATACAAGATGGTTCACTTCGCCCAAAAAAGTGTTCGCGGAAGTACCCGCCTTGCTTCAGATAGTGCTGCGGTCGTTGTTTCGAAGCTCTCTTTCTTTTCTCCAGAAGAGGAATGGGAATAGCCAAGCACCCCTTTGAGCGCACTGATCGACTGCTATTCATCGGTCTAAAATCAACTGTTTGGGTTCGCTCAGTGGAGAGCTTTGAGTTGTTTTGCTATTAATTTCAATGACTTCTCGCCTCTCATTTTAAGACTAAATCAACGACGAAAACAGTCTCCCCTTCCGCCTAAAAAAAAAGTCTTTTTGTCAGCGTAACCATTTTAAAAAGGTTTTCTGAAAGAAATTTGAATTCTTATCTATTAAAAAACTAGTCAGTTTCACCTTGATTTTTTCCACACAAGTAGGGTAACTCTGTCCACACAAGTAGGGTAACTCTGTCCACACAAGTAGGGTAACTCTGTCCACACAAGTAGAGTAACTCTGTCCACACAAGTAGGGTAACTCTGTTCGCAAAACGGGAGCTTTTCCGAAGAGGGCGCCCCAGGATTTAGAGGATGCCTTTTTAATTGGCTCAAAAAGAGGAGCGAACCATGTTGTTATGTACGATCTTTGGCTAGACGAGGTGTAAAAGCGATAAAACACTGACTATCGATACCATTATCAACATCCAAAGATCTTACATGACAAGATGGTTCACTCCTCTCTTTGAACCAATTAAAAAAGTGTCCTCAAAATCCGGTGGCGCCCTCTTCGAAAAGCGCCCATTTGATAACAGAGTTACCCTACTTGTGTGACCAAAAAGTTAACGTAAAACAAACACATTTTTGTATAAATTATAATTAACGATTTTGGAATAACGCCTTTTTTAATGGTTACTCTGACAAAAATCCTCTTCAGGTGGAAGAGGTGACTGTTTTAGTCATTTAATTTGAATTTTGAATGAGAAGCGAGAGGTCATTAAAATAAAACAACCCAAAACTCCGCACTGAGCAAACCGGAACAGCTGATGCACAAAGGGGTGCTATTCCTATTCTTTTTCTGGAGAAACGAAAGAGAGATTCAAAACAGAGACTGCAGCTGAACCAATGCGTGGACTTCTGCGGACACTTTTTTGGCAGAGTGAACTATCTTGTTAGGTACGATCTTTGTCATGACGAGGTATTCGCTGTACACAGTCGCTGTTCCCAATTCTCTTGGGAGCACTCTTCGAAATTCGAATCTGACAAGGAGGTCTGGAAACATCAGTCAAGCAAGTGCACTGAAGATGAAGAGAGAAAAGCGGCAGATTGCTGGATTTGGTTCCCAACACTAGCACAGATCAATGAGAACAGACAAGACTGGCCATTGAGTCAGGAACAGAACGAGGAATATTTCCACACATTTCTGTATAAATCGATAGGAAACTGTGAGGGAAATCCTGTTGACATCAGAAGATTCCATTAAAACGTTGTCTTGGCGGCGAGTTAAGGGATGCAGCCGCAAAAAAGAAAAGAATCTGGAAAGCTCCCCAAAAAACTTTTTTT